ACCCGTCGGCGGTCGGTGCAGGGGGTCCCGGTTATTGGGCTGCGCGGGGGGGGCTCTACGGTCGGTGCAAAGCCGCGGGGTTGCGAGGCAGGAGATGCCCCCCCCCAGGCCACCCCGGGCTGGGGTCCCCGCTGTCCCCCCAAGCGCAGGGGGGGTGTCATTCCACCCCCTCAAGACCCCCTGTGTCCCCACATCCGCCAGCTCCAAAGGGACCCTGGGGACAGATGCAGGGCAGGGACAAGGGGGTGATGATGGGTGATGTCCCCCCCCCGGGTGGCCCATCCCCCTCCGCCCGGTTTAGGATGGCGGGGCGGGATCCCGCACCCTCGTCCTGCGACTGCTTCGTGGCGCTGCCCCCGCACACCGCCACCCCCGCCGTCATCTTCGCCAAGAACGCTGATCGCCCGCGCCACGAAGTCCAAGAGATCGTCTACGTCCCCGCCGCCGTCCACCGCCCCGGGGACAAAGTCCAGGTAAAGACCGTGCTGGGGCTGGGGTGGCTGCAGGGGAGGGTGCACTGAGTGTGCCAGGTCTCAGCCCCCTTTCTGTGTCACCCACCCACCCATGACAGTGCACCTACCTGGAGATCGAGCAGGCGGAGAGGACCCACGCGGTGGTGCTGAGCCGTCCCGCCTGGCTGTGGGGTGCCGAGATGGGTGCTAACGAGCACGGTGTCTGCGTGGGCAACGAGGGCGTCTGGACCCGCGAGCCCGTGGGGGAGGACGAGGCGCTGCTGGGGATGGACCTGGTGAGGTGAGGACCCGTGTCGGTGTCTCCCCCTTTTTGTCCTGGCCGCCCCGTGCCGTCCCCCACCGCTGGCCGACGGGGTGCTGCCAGCGCCACAGGCTGGGTTTGGAGCGGGGCAGCTCGGCCCGGGAGGCTCTGGGGGTGATCACGGCCTTGCTGGAGCGCTACGGCCAGGGTGGGAGCTGCAAGGAGGAGCCGGAGCCCTTCGTCTACCACAACACCTTCCTGCTGGCCGACCGCTCCGAGGCCTGGGTGCTGGAGACAGCTGGCCGGTACTGGGCAGCCCAGCGGATCCAAGGTGAGCAGTATACTGGTTATACTGGGTTATACTGGGCGGACGGGGTGCCCTGTCTCCCCCCTCGGAGCTTGAGCCCCCACTTTGGCTTTCGCAGAGGGCAGCCGCAACATCTCCAACCAGCTGAGCGTGGGGAGGGAGATCACGGCCGAGCACGCGGGGCTGCGGCAGCGAGCGATGCCCTGTCTCCCCCCTCTCGGAGCTTGAGCCCCCCCTTTGGCTTTCGCAGAGGGCAGCCGCAACATCTCCAACCAGCTGAGCGTGGGGAGGGAGATCACGGCCGAGCACGCGGGGCTGCGGCAGCGAGCGCGCAGCCAGGGCTGGTGGAGCGGGGACGGCGAGTTCAGCTTCGCCGAGGTCTTCTCCCTGCCCCACCAACCCCCCCGCATGGAGGCTGCCAAGGCCCGCTACCGCGCCGGCAGGGAGCTGCTGCGGCAGCACGCAGGTGGGGACGGGGACAAGGGCATGGGGACACCCACCCGTGGCCCACCCCGGCGTCTCCACGCTCCCCGTGGCCGCAGCAGCCGTGGCTGTGGCTGAGCTCTGCCTGGTCCACCAGGTCACATCACGGCGGAGACCTTCATGGCCATCCTGCGGGACAAGGAGAGCGGGATCTGCGTGGACTCGGAGGGTTTCCGCACGGCGGGCAGCATGGTGTCCGTGCTGCCCCGGGACCCCGCCTTGCCCTGCGTCCACTTCTTCACGGCCACCCCTGATCCCTCCAGGTGAGGAGAGGGGACAGCCCCGCTCCGGGGGTGGCAGGGACAAGGCAGAGCCACGCCGTGGGCTGAGCGTCCCCGGGGGAGCAGCGTCCGTCCTCGTGATGGCCGGTCCCAGCGTCCCGCTGCTCCTCTCCGGCAGGTCTGTCTTCAAGCCCTTCGTCTTCGTGGCCAACCCCAAGCCCACGCCGCAGGTGAGGTCTCCCACTTTCCGTGAGGACCCGGCCAAGCAGATCCCAAGGTTCCAGAGCACGGTCGATCGGCGCCACGAGCTGTACCGCCGGCATCAGGCGGCGCTGGAGCTGATGGAGAGGGACCAGGTACCACAGACCCTTCCCCAGCTGCTCGCTCTCCCCGGTGATGTGGGAGGACATCAAGTTCCCTGGGGGTGCCCGGTCTCATCTCTCCTCCCTCCCCGACCCCACCAGGAGCAGGGCCAGAAGCTCCTGCAGACGCTGCGGGACCTGGAGAAGCAGGGCCTGGAGGGGATGAATGCTCTCCTGGGGGGGACGGTGGCCCCCAGCCCGGAGGAGTTGGCCGACCTCTTCTTCGACTGCGTGGAGGCAGAGATGAAGTTTTATACATAAACCCTGCGCTGGGGGGGTGGGCTTTCCCCCCCACCACAGCATTGCTCCTAGATAGGGGATGAGAAGACCTTCCCGGTGCCCACCCCTGGCTCCTCACCTCCTACCCCCACGGTGGAGAACACCTTGACCAGCATCTCCAGCCCTGCCTGGGGGTGCGGAGCCTCCAGCCCCCCAACTTGCCCCAGAGGACCTGGCACATTTGAGAGGTGGCCGTGGCCTGAAACGCGGGTGTGGGGAGAAGGAGAGGGACGTGGAGTGGGATGTGGAGTCCTGCCCGCAGCCTGGCGTGTCCTGTCCCACCATCAGGCAGAGCTGCAGGTGCCCGGCCCCTCTGGGGCTGCTGTGGGGCTGGTGGCTCCGTGTCAGACAGGCAGATCCATGTAGGAATAAAGAGGCTTTAATTGCAACTGCGTGGTGCTGGCCTGGTGTGGGGTATTGCGGGTAACTGCCTATTTCTTTCTCCTGTGGTGTGAGTCTTCTCCTCCAGAGGCTTGGTCTGGGGCTGGTTCCTTCCAGGAGGTTGCTGGGGCTGCAGGCAAGCGTGCTGCCTGCTGGATCCCGGCAGGGGTGGCAACTGTGTCCCTGGTTTTGCTTGGGGAGGGGGCTGAGACTGCCTGGGGGCTGGGGCTGCTCCCTCCCTGCCTGGGCTCGGCAGTGGAGGAGGCAGTAGAAGACCCTGACGCTCCCACAGCTCCTCCAGCTCTTCCAGACGGGCCTGGTGTTCCTTCAGGGTCTCCCTCCGCCTCTGCTGCGAGCGTTCAGCCAGCTCCTGCTGAAGATCTGCAAAGAAATCTGCCAAGGACAGAGGGAGGGAGAGGGAGCAGAATTACAGGACAGCAGAAATACAGGCACAGCACCTCCCTGCCACTCCTGGCACCCTTGGGGACAGAGGGACCAGCCTGCTTAAGCCCCAAACATGCAATGTGTCCTGCTTCAGTCTGGGCACCTTTGCCTGCAGTGAAAGGGCCACTCGACTCAAAGAGCAGCTTGTCGTCTTCATCTTCGCTGCTGGAAGAGCCTCCTTCCTCCTCCTCCTCCTCGCACGTGCTGCTATGGATGGGCTGGGCGTCCAGCTGCAGGAGGTGGGGCAGGGCTCCCACCACCAGCTCTCTGCAAGCACCAAGGGGAGAGCAGATGTTCCCCCGACACACAGCACAGCCCCGGGGCTGGGACTGGGTTGGGGTGACACCAGTTTCCTCCTCCCAGCACCCCTCTGCACAGCCCAGCCTGGGAGGAGATCTGGATTTCTGGGGTTTGTGTGGGGGGCTTAGGCTGTATTGGATATTTGAGGGGGTGGGGGGTCTGCTGAGGGGCTTGTGTGGCTTGGGGGACTCGCTTTCTCCCTCTGCTCCCCCCCCCCAGGCTCCCCTGACCCACCTGTATCCGTGCTGGTGGGTGCATTCGTTGCCCGTTAAGTCGAGGAGACGGAGGCTGCGGGGCAGCTCCTCTGCAGAGATCAAAGGGAAAGAAGAAAGGTGCTGAGACGGGACCTGAGCCCCCCCTCCTCCACCAAAATCCTGTCTCCCAGAGCTCCCAGTGGCGACAGCCCCACCGTGGGAAGCAGCCTCTCCCCTCACGGCTGGGGAAACTGAGGCAGGGAGGGCAGGAATGTGTATCACACACTCCCGTGTGAGAACGGAGGGTTTTCCCCTTCCCAGGCCCTCACCGTTCCCTTTCTCACCCCTGTCTGCAAGCAGAGGGCCTGGTGCCACAATAGGAATGTTACAGAGGAAGAGAGGGAGATAATTATCCCTTTGTCCTTTCCTCTTCTGCCAAAAATCCTCCTCCTCGGGAGGAGCCAGCTGAAAGAAGGGGTTGTCAGGGCTGGGGCAGCTTTGCTCAAGGTTGAAATCCCCAAGTCTGATTGGAGCCGCTTGAAATGTTCTGCTGAAGCAGGACACAAGGTGGAACCAAACACCTGGAGTCTGCCAGCAGCAGGGAGGGCTCAGACCTGGCCACAGGGCTCCTCTGGTGTCACCGTGGGACAGGCAGGCCAGTCTCAGGGTGGCTCTGCTGCACCTGAGGGCCAGAAGCTCCGGCAGAGCCTGGACCAAGGGTCTGATGAGGTTTCCCTCATACCCCAGGCACTTCTCGGGCAGACCCAGGCCATGTCCAGACCAGTTCCTGCCTCCCACCTGGGTCCAGCGTCTGGATCTGGTTGTGGGACAAGTCCAGGACGCGCAGGTGTTGCAGGGGCTGCAGGTTCTCCACTCTGCGGATGCGGTTGCCAGCCAGGGAGAGGAACCTGCAGAGCACAGGGAGGGTGGTGGCATGAGGCCGGGGGGACACCATGGCCCCCAGGATCTGAGCCAGCCCGATAATCAGACTGTCAGGGGCTGCAGCTTGAACCCCCCCAGCTCTGCCAAGGGAAGAAGGGAGCATTGCTCTCCTCTGACCACGGAGAGGGATCTCCCTGGGGGCAGGAGCTGCCCATACCGCAGGTTGGGAAAGTAGCCCAGATTCTCGATCTTCTCAATTTGGTTCTGAAAAAAACCAACAAAAAAAACCAACAAAATGTTTTCCTACTGCATGAAAAATCAGACTTTGGGAGCACCTGAATCCCTCCAACCTCACACAGGCAACGTGATGTCCCACCACGGGAGCTTTATGAAGAGGGTACAGGGCTGCGACAGCACAGGGAGCCCAGGAGAACCCTAAGGCTTCTCATGAGGGTTTGAAACACGCCAAATGGCTGATGCCAGACCCTCACTTGAATTCTGTCAGTGGCACTGTCATGGGAGGGGAGTACTGCCAGCCCCTCTGGCCATGCGGGGAGGCAAAATTCTTGGGGGTGTTTGTGGTCCCCCCCAAGGAAGGGGGTCCCTTTACCCGTAGGACCAGGGCTGTTTGCTGCTGCCCCTGCAGTGCCCTTACCTGCTGCAGATAGAGGCTGTGAATCTCCTGCAGGCTCTGGAGCCTCCCGATAGCACAGATGTTCTCCCGATCCAAGCGGATGGTCGAGGGGGACAGCAGCTCCGCGGATCTAGAGGAAGGGGGGTACCTGGGGTGTCCTTTGTGCCCGGAGACCCTCCCTGCCAGCCTGGGTGGTGAAGGTGGGCTCCGTGCGGATCCTCACCGGCTCTCTGGGTGCAGGGGCTCCACCAGCTGAGGCAGGTTCCTCGTGGCGATGAGGCTGTCGGTGAGGGTCACCCCCAGGGACGTCTGCTCATGGTCTGTGGGAAACCCAGAGCGATGGGGCTGAGCCCAGCGGGGTCCAGCTCCCCGATACCCCCCCAGGCTGACACATGAGCAGGCCCCACAATGGCTCACTCACCCTCAAGCACGGTCTCCCCCTGCCCAGCCATAGTGAGGAGGTGGCCTGGGTCTTTCTCCCTTCCTTGGTCCCTTGGGTGGGTGTCTTGGGGGGGCTGGCCTGGCCCCACTGCTCTCTGCAAGCTGAAGACTCCTGAGGCAATGGGGGGCAGACGCCTGTGGGCTGGGGGAGGCGGTGGGGACAGGAGTGCTGGGATCAACGCTGGGACCCCCAGGTGGGGCAGAGAGACTCCAGGGCCTGGGGAGCCTATGGGACCAGACTCCCCCCGGGGTTGGGGGGCACAGAGACCCCCGGGCTGGGACAGGGGGGGGGTCACCGGGGCCAAATCCCCGGGATGGGGGGCACAGAGACCCCGGGGCTGGGGCAGGGTCGGGGGGTCCCGGGCTCCGGGGGGGCCGCAGGCCGCAGCGTGCCCGTTGCTAGGAGACGGGCGGCCCCGGAAGGGGCGGGACACGGCGCTCCCCCTCCGCGCACGCGCGCCGCCGGTCCTCCACCTTCCCAGCAGCCCTTGCGCTCCCGCGGCAAAGATGGCGGCGCTGAGCGGTGGCGGAGCGCCATGGCGGCGGGGTGAGGGGCCTTCTCACCGGGGCTGGGCGGCTCCGCGGGGCTCGGGCAGGGGATCTGGCGGGGGAGGGTGTGCGTGTGACTTAGTCTGTCCTTCCCCGGGCCCTGCTCCCCGGTCCAGGCTCCTCTCCCGCTCCCCCGGGGACCCCGGGGCCTGGCACCGGCCCTGAGCGCTGCCCGCGTCCCCGCTCCTCTCCGTAGGCTGGCTGCCCGCCCTGCACTTCGTCCGCCGCGGCTCCAAAGCGGTCACCCGGCACTGGAAGGCCATGCACTTCCAGCGGCAGAAGCTGATGGCCGTGACCGAGTACCTGGCCCCGCGGCCGGCCGTCCCGCCGCGCTGCCTCACCCCCAGGGAGCAGAAGGTGGAGGAGGTAATTTTCTGGCCCGTGGCCGGGGTGGATGCGCGGCCGCGGGGCCTCGGTGGCTGCGGAGACCGGATGGTTTTGCACACCCCCTCTGTGTGCTTTGCTCCGGGGATTTAACACCGGGGTCTGCAGCCCCCACCGGGTGCGGTGCACATTCCCGTGGTCAGCTTGGCTGGACACGGTACGAGATATTCCCGGGGTGATGTTACCCTGCTCAGGCTGCCCAGGGAGGGTGTGGAGTCCCCTTCTCTGGAGATCTTCAAGACCCTCCTGGATGCTCCTGAGTGATGTGCTCTGGGCAGCCCTGCTTTAGCAGGGGAGTTGGACTGGATGATCTCTAGAGGTCCCTTCCAACTCTGACAATTCCATGATTCCATTCCATACCCCTTTTCATCCTGTTGTGGGTGGCCGGGAGGTGCCTCAGCTGATAATCCAAGTGCTGGAAACCAGGTGAGTCCCAATCCCTGGTGGCATCTCCCAACTTGTGGTGGCATCTCCCAACTTGTGGTGGCATCTCCCAATCCCTGGTGGCATCTTCCAGCCTGTGGTGGCATCTCCCGGCAGTAGGTCCGTTGTAGCAGGGTGGGAGCTGGGGGAGGCGGCCGCCGTTGCCCCCTCCCCACGGCCCATCGCTGCTCCCTCCCCCCAGGACAACGGCTACGCCCGGCTGCTGCGGCGGCAGGTGGAGGAGGTTTTTCGGGACAATCGGATGATCGCCATCTGCCAGTACAACTCCATGCCCGGCGAGGACGTGGTGCTGATGAGGCATTACCTCCGAAAGCACAACATCGAGGTCAAGTTCGTCCTAAATGAGGTAAAGGATGGAGCCGCCGGAGCAGATCCCGGGGTGGTTTGGGGCTGGGGAAGGCGGGTGGGAGCCGGGACCATCACGCGGTGCTTTCTGGGGTGAAAAGCTGCATTTTGAGAGCTGTCTCCCCCCAGATTGTCAGACCCGTGCTGTCGCAGTCCAAGTACAAGAATCTCCTCCCTCTCTTTGTGGCGCGCAATATCCTGCTGGTGAGCCCGGAACTGAAGGCGAAGGAGATGCTGCGGGTGCTGAAGGGGGTGCCCCAGATCAACCTCCTGGGTGAGAGCCCTCCCTGTGTCCCCACATCTGCTGCCCCTGGGCTCGGGGCTCCCCCCCGGCGCTGGGGAGAGGTGCAGGGTCCACACTAACAGAGCTGTGTCTGTGGGATCGCTGTCATGTCCCTTACAAGGGACTCCCCAGGGCCTGGAGCATCTCTCTGATGAGGAAAGGCTGAGGGACTTGGGGCTTTTTAGTCTGGAGAAGAGAAGGTTGAGGGGGGATCTGATCAACACCTATAAATACTTCAAGGGTGGGTGTCAGGAGGATGGGGCCAGGCTTTTTTCAGTGGTGCCCAGGGACAGGACAAGAGGGAACGGGCACAAACTTGAACATAAGAAGTTCCATCTAAACATGAGGAGGAACTTCTTCACTTTGAGGGTGGCAGAGCCCTGGCAGAGGCTGCCCAGGGAGGTGGTGGAGTCTCCTTCTTTGGAGACATTCAAACCCACCTGGACACGTTCCTGTGGGACCTGCTCTGGGTGGCCCTGCTCTGGCAGGGGGTTGGACGGGATGATCTCCAGAGGTCCCTTCCCACCCCATGGGATTCTGAGGGGGGGGATGGTGAGGAGTGGGAGTCCTGCCTGCAGCCAGCGGAAGATGGAGGGGCTCTGGCTCTGCCACCCCCGTCTCCCCTCCTCAGCTCTGCTCTTCTCTTCCAGGCGCCTGCATCGACGACACCATCCTGAGCAGGCAGGGGGTGGAGAACTTTGCCAAGCTGCCCTCGCTGGAGGTCAGCCAGGGGCAGACGGTGGGTGCCCTGGCCCTCCTGCCCTCCCAGACCTCCTCCCTGCTGCAGCGCGGCCCCGCACACCTCACGGCTCTGCTGGACGAGCACATCCGACGCCTGCAGGCCGGGGAGACGGGGAGCCCTCCCGGGACCACCCCACCCCAGAGCTCAGGGGGTCACTGACGCCGGGAGTCGGCTCCTTCACCGTGGTCGGGAAGGAGGGGCCAAGGACTGTAGATTTGGCCCCCGGGGGGGCAGCCAGCAGTGGGACTGAGGGTCCTGCAGCACCACCGGCGTGTTGGAGGGGCTCTGGTCCCTCCCTTCGCCCCCCGCTATCGGCACCTGGGAACGTCCCGTCTGTGTTTTGGGGCTGTGGTTGGGGGTCAGACGGAGGAGGGAGAGGGTGGTGGGGACCTGTGATGGTGCTGGAGGTGGGGGGCGTGGAGATCTCCGAGCCCCCCCTGCCCACCGGAATGGGGGGAACGTGCTGTAACGCTGACGGAGCCGTGTCACCATCCTGTCCATTAAAGCGTGGTGATGGAGATACTGGAGGGTCTCGTCTCGGATTTAGGGGGG